AACAATAATAACAACAAAGGGGGCGGCGAGCGGAGGCTGCTAGAAGAAACTAAAGATCCCAGCAGATTGATCGCTCGGCCGGACGTGCGAATGTTTGCTAAATTACCTCTCCCTGAGAGGGGAGAGGGCCGCATTTCGCGCGCGTTTAATGAAATACAGAAAATGAATCGTGACCACTGCCCTCCGTAATGACGGCACGCCTGTAAGTTGTCCCTTGACAACGTGGCAAACGAGCCCGATTGTTAATCGGGCGCAACCCCCGAAATCCAATTAAATCCGCTCGGTGGTTGATTAACGCGATGAAGAAACATTAGATAGAGAGAGAGAGAGAGAGAGAAGGGGCTTGTACCGACGAGAGAAAATCTATCTCTCTCTCTCTCTCTCTCTCTCTTCTTCTTCGTGTCTCGCGTGCGAGAGAAATACGGATGTCCATCCGGAGTTGAGAGGAGGAGGGGGTGAATGGTACGCGCACAGGGTACAAAAGAAGTGTTTCTGATTATTAATGAAGTGTCTTTGTCTGGAACGAAACGTATTAACCGGCACGCTCACCTAAGGCAGCCGGCGCGTATTTATTACCGAGAATGAAAGGGATTTACTTAGATGCGTTTCCAACTGCTTCTTCTTCTTCTTCTTCTTCTTCTTCTTCTTCTTCTCCTCCTCCTCTTCGTTTTTTTCTACTTTTTCCCCGCGGTTCGGCTTTCTCGTTTTGTTTATAGACGTTGTTCCAAATGAGCACGAGCAAGTGACTGATTGCGTGCGGGGATGTTTGAGCGACTATTTCAACTGACTAGCGTCTCCTTTGTTCGATTTTTGCGATCGAAAGACAAATTTACTGGACATCATAACGCGGCTAACGCGCAAAATTACTTGCCACGATCCCTACACGTACAATTTAAATGTAAGTAAATATCTTGCTTCTATATATACATATATATATATATATCAGTAATAAAAATTCTCCGCCAGAATAAATTGTTTCCAATTGTAATTTACATGCGAGATAGGGAGAGAGAGATTAAATAAGAGGGGGGAAAATACGGGGTTTTTCTTGGACGGGTTAGCTCGATTTCCTTTTGGATTAACGGTGAACGGCTCTCTCGTTACCATGACCATTACCATTTTTCATGGTTTACGGGTGATCGAGCACGGCCACGGCCGTTTTCTACTTGTTTCCGTGTCAACGTGACGGGATTGACAGCGCGCGTTCCACGTCGACGCAATATCATAAATCGGATTCCAGCTGATAATACAGCCGAGATAAAACCGCATCGTGAAAGCTAGGTTTATTATACCCACGAGAAAATCGTCGAGGTGTGTGGGCCCCATGCTGGGCCTTCTCCATTCCCCTCCTCGCTATTAATTAAAACCGCGACTACCGCCTGTCCGCTCGTTAATTATCCACCCAATTTTACCGCTTTGCGGCTCATATCTTCCCGTATTTTCATCGATTTTTCTTCTCCGCGTTACACGCGGATCCCGGCATTCGACGATTTAGATTTCTCGCTTCGCGCACGGGACTCGTTGCTTCGACCGGATTTTCGTCCAATTTTCGTCCAATTTATGGTAAAGTGTTCATTATCCTTCGCCTCTCCGATTCGCGACGATTTCAATTTTTCTCGAATTTTTCCAAGAAAGTTTACCACCGTCGAATAACGAACTGAAGATTCGTATAAAAAAGGAAAAAAAAAAAACAAGCCCGCAAATATATTGCCGATTGAAATTTCACTTCCATATCCAATAATAACGTGTCGCGAAAGAAGGGGGAGGGGGGGGGGGCGGAAAAAAAAAGGCGTCGCGAATCGATAAATACGGCTTGGTTATTCGGCCTCGGTGAACGAGGAGGAAAGTCGTTGGGCGTCGATGAAAGGGTTCAAAGGGGGCCCGACCCGGGGAGGGGGAGATGATTGCTTTAGAGACAATTGTCGATCGATCGGTATCAACGTGTAACGTGTACACGTTGGAAGCATAAATTCTCGCCGGACCATCAATTATACCGGGGGGATTATTAATAATCGTCGCTGCCACGCTGGGGCTCGGTCGAGGAGAGGGAGAGGAGGAGAACTCGTTCCTTCAGGAAGGAAGGAAGGGTGGGAGAGAGTGGTCCCTTAGAATGACACAAGTTCGCTTGCAGATGTGTGTGTGTGTGTGTGTGTGTGTGTGTGTGTGTGTATAGGAGAGGGAAATAAGAAGAGGAAGAAGAGAAATCGAAGTCCACCGAGCGGATACTTATTACGGCGCAGCGCGCCCTACAGGTGTTCGAGCGGAATCTCTTTGAGAGAATCGGATCTCGCGGATGAAACCGAGATGCTTGTGCAACGTTGAAAAGAGGATGCTCCTCCCTTTCATCTTCTTCGTTCACCCGTTATTGGAACACGCGCGTGTAATTTTCATAAATTCCTATACAATTCCTATACTCTTTGCCTCCACGCAATTCCGTTGAAAATTTTCTTAATTTTTCCTCTTTTCTTCCGAATCCTGATACTCGTGCAATTTTGTATTCTTTGCCTCGACAATCGGTTGAGATTTTTCGTTGAAAATTTTCCCAATTTTTCGAACCGTAATTTTTATGCTCGTGCTTCGATTATTAATTATATTTTTCAGAAAAGATCGGGGAAAAAATCGCAAGCTTATTCGTTCGAAATGAATTCGAGATGAACGAAAGGAAGGGAAAAAATTTGAGGCGCTTTAGCCTGGTTGAATTTAATTGGAACGCGTTTCCCACAATGGGAAAGGAGTGGAGAGGAGGAAGAGCGATTCGGTCGGATGGGATCGAGGATTCCTCCTCGTTCATGATGGATCAATCACGATCCGACGACAACGGTAATAACGGGAGAGGAACGAGGCGAAGCGCAACCGAATTAATCGATCGGAATTGATCGATAATCCTCTTTCGGGATTTCAATTTGATCGAACCGTGGGGGATGTTCGCGCAATGTATTCTCAAAGTATCGATCTAAAATTATCGCTCTTCATCTTTCCTTGATCGACTCGACCGTACCCTATATCGATATACAAAAATACTTGCGGAATACTTGACAGAAAGCCTCCACTTTGTTACCGAATCGTTTAACCGCGAGTCATCGACTCGACGAGCTGGTCGAAACGAATTTTTATGCCACACGTCAAAACCGATCATTTATATTTTCGAGGAGGCACAATGGCGACCATGTATCGAGCTTAACGAGACATTGTGCGTTTCGGATCGTTTCATCAACGCGCCTCTTAATCCCCCACTTTTATTCACAGATCCCGATTTTGAACGAGTCACGAAGATATTTAGATGGGTGTTCCTTTCCACGCGAAAAATCGTATATCTCGGGGGAGGAATTTAACGAGGGAAAAAATATACGACTAGGATATAGTAGTATAGAATCGATGGAGTAGACACTTTTTATTTTTACTTTTAACATAATCGGTTCTCCATTAAATGTTCTCTCGCCTACGCGTTGTTAACAGGGTCGTGCAAAGTGCGCGAGCAATGACGCGAGATTGGATTGGAAAACGATTAAAAAAAGAAAAATAAAGAGAGAGAGAGAGAGAGAGAGAGAGAGAGAGAGAGAAGAAG